TCCCCTGCCCCCCTCCCCTCCCTCCCCTTCCTTCCCTCCCCTCTGCCTCCCCGGGTTGCTGAGGAGCCCTTCCTGGACTTGGGGGCCAGGCACTGCCCTTGGGCCCAGGGGTAGGGGTTGGATTTACTCTCCTTCACCCCCATTTGTGAACGTTGACTCTTGTTAGGATGGGGGTCAGGGCGGGGCTGGCTCTGAGCAGAGGGGTGAGGGGACCACCGGAGGGCTCCCCACTCCACTTGATCTCAGCCGGGGAGAAAGCAGGAGAGGAAGGAGGCTGGGGTCCAAGACTGCAGAGTGGAACCCCAGGGACCCCCATGGCCAGGGACTGTGCTCCTTGGAGGAGAGGCAGGTTCAGGACCACCCTGGGCACCCATCGGGTTTGGGGAGGAGGCTGTGGAGAGAGAGAAGACCCAGGCCCAGGCTGGGAGGTCACATCCTGAGCCAGGAGGGGCTGGTGGGGATGCTGACCTGCCCAGGGGAGCCGTGGCCTGTTCCACACAGCGTGGGACTGTGAGAGGAGACTGTGCCCTGGGCCTCTGGAAATGCCCACCCCTGCCTCAGTGTCCCAGCGGCAGGCCCAGCTGAGCCCTCCCCCCACCCCCCCCACTGTCCCGGTGTGGGTGGGGGAGGGGCTGAAGGAGCAGCCGCAGGCTCTCCTCTGTGTCTGTCTTCTGTCTGTGCATGGGGCGGGCACTGCATGCCAGGCGCTGGGGTCTCGAAAAGCTCCTGTCTGGTCAGGGGGGCTCCCCTTCCTCCCCCCTCCTCCCGGGGACAGGTAGGAGCAGTGGTTTGGCCCTCATACTCTGGAACCATCCTTCAGTTCCTGGGGAGTGAGCAGTGGGTGGCAGCAGGGCCTGGGCTCCTGCGCCCCAGTTCTTTCTGGTTGTGATGGGAAGGGATCTGGTGGCCGCTGGCTGGAAGCTGTCGGGAAATGCAGACCAAATGGGGTGGGCTCCACGGAACGGCCCATGGAACAACTTGTCAGATGTTTGCCATGCATATCCAGAGTTCTGCTCTGCTCCCCCACCCCCAGCCCCTAACATGCCAGTCTCTGCGTTACACCCCCCACTGGCGCCCCACTGGGACAGGCTGCTGCAGAACTGATCCCAAAGACCTCAGATCTCAGAGCGGCATGAGTGAGCCCCCCCCTTCCTGTGCCTCCTGTGAGCTGTGTGTGTGTGTGTGTGTGTACACCCCTATCCAGTGTGGCTGTGACGGGGGGGGGGGGGTCTGGCTCTCTCTGCCGCAGGATGGAAGAAGCTGACGTCTTGGGCCTTCTGTAGACGGTTCAGCGGAGAGGAGAGGCTCTCTGTTCTCTCCCGTCTCCCCAGCCCTGCTGTGGCCATAGTAGCGTCTGGAACCTGGTACTTCTGGGTCTCACCAAGTAGCCCAGGCTGGCCTCACACTGGAGAGCCTCTGGTCAGATGCTTTAAGTTCTGGGATTGTGGGTGTGAAGCACCACAACCAGCCCTGGGTCTCCGCCTGTGTGTGAGTACGCGTGCGTGCGTGTGTGTGTGTGTGGGGGGTCCTGTCCTGTCACTAGCCCATGGTCTATGCACTTGTTCACTCATCTTGGGGTGTCCACGTGGCCAGGGCAGACTCTGGGGACTCTGAGGCGGGGGGAGGCCAGGCTGGGTGAGACTGGGTGGGGTTGGGCAGGGGTGTCTGCTCCCTAGCACAGCCCTGAAGCCTCTGCCTCTGTTGACCTAGTTCCCAGACTTTCCTTGGAGCTGTTTGCTCAGCTGATCTGTCCCACCAGCCCCGCACCCTGCCCTGCCCTGCCCTGCCCTGCCAGGGCCAGCCTCACTTACTTGGCCCCCACCCTGAGCTACCTGGATGGCAGCTGTTGTCTTGGGACCCGGCTACAGGCGCCTGGCCTGTTTGCATTTTCCCAAGTTGCATTTTCCCAAGGCAGGGATCTGCGGTCAGCTCTCCTCCTCTGGACCTGGGAATGGGCCAGCGCCTTCCCCACTCACATCTGAATGATGTGAGCCCGTGGCTAACGCCTGCAATCCTAGCTACTCAGGAGGCTGAGATCTGAGGATCGAGGTTCAAAGCCAGCCCAGGCAGGAAAGTCCGTGAGACTCTCATCTCCGATAAATGACTAAAAACTGGAAGTGGCGCTGTGACTCAAGCAGTAGAGCGCTCATCTTGAGCTGAAGAGCGCAGGGACAGTGCCAGGCCCAGAGTTCACACTACATGACCAAAAAAAAAAGCAGAGAAAAGAAATGCTGAGCTTCAGGCCTGGCATCCTGGGCCCAGGACCTGAGGACGGGGCCCCAGAAAGATGCAATCACAACCACATTGCTAATGGACACAAGTGCACCCTGCTTTTTTGGTTGGTGCTTTGGCATTCAGAGCTGGGCCAGAAGGGGGAGGGGTGGGCAGGGCTGTGGTTAAGGGCAGGGAGAGGTGTAATTTAATTTCGGGGGGGGGCGGGAGAGCAGTCCGCCTGCCACTCATTATTGATGACCTCACTCGGGGCCAATGACTACAGCGTGGAGGCTGGTGTCCCAGGTCCACACTGGCTGGCCTGGGGCTCCTCAGTCTGGGTGGGAAAGCAGCACCATGGTTGGGGTACAGCAGCTCTGGGTGGGGTGGTCGCTGGGAGGGCGTTGCCCTGACACGAGGGCCCAGAGAGTTTGTTGAGAGGTAATAAACTGCCAGTAAACACGCTCCGCCAGCTCTGAGCCCGGTGATGGGTGATGGACACCCTGGTGGGTGGCCCCCACTGCAGGTCCGTGCGGGGCTGGCCGGGACCCCGCACCGCACCTACCAGGCTCTCCATTGCTGCACCTTAGGGGTTGGGCCTGGACGGGGGGGGGGGAGGGGGGTACGTCACCAGAGGAAGAGGGGTGGTCCTGGGTCCCTGGGGAGCAGGCTAGGGGAGGGGGCGTGGCCAATGGCCAGCTCCCCCTCCTGCGGTCTCTCAGGAGCCTGATGCCCCGCACGGTGGACGGACAGATCACCATGGAGAAGACTCCCAGCTACTTCGTCACCCGGGAGGCCCCGCGCCGCATCCACAGCATGTCCCCCGACACCAAGCTGATTGTGGTGGTGCGAAACCCTGTGACCCGAGCCATCTCCGACTATGCCCAGACCCTGTCCAAGACCCCAGGCCTGCCCAGCTTCCGAGCGCTGGCCTTCCGCCACGGCCTGGGTCCCGTGGACACCGCCTGGAGTGCGGTGCGCATCGGCCTCTACGCCCTGCACCTGGGCCGCTGGCTGCGCTACTTCCCGCTGTCCCGCTTCCTGTTCGTCAGCGGCGAGCGCCTGGTCAGCGACCCGGCCAGGGAGGTGGGACGCGTGCAGGACTTCCTGGGCCTTACACGTGTGGTCACCGGCAAGCACTTCTACTTTAACGCCACCAAGGGCTTCCCGTGCCTCACGAGGGCCCCTGGGAGCGGCCGGCCTCGCTGCCTGGGCAGATCCAAGGGCCGCTCCCACCCCCGCGTGGCCCCGGCCCTGCTTCAGCGGCTGCGTGACTTCTACCGGCCCTTCAACCGCAAGTTCTACCAGATGACTGGCCAGGACTTTGGCTGGGACTGAGCCCGGGCAGCCTTCCTGACACAGTGCGGCCGGTAGCCGCACACAGTCACAGCCCGCTGGCTGCGCACCCTGTGGAGACAGAATGTTTAAGAACTACACTTTGCCTGGGCGCCGGTGGCTCATGCCTGTCATCCCAGCTACTCAGGAGGCTGAGATCTGAGCATCGAGGTTCAAAGCCAGCCCGGGCAGGAAAGTCCATGAGACTCATCTCCAATAAACCACCAGAAAACTGGAAGTGGTGGCTCAAGTGGTAGAGCGCTCACCTTGAGCTGACGAGCGCAGGGACAGTGCCCAGGCCCAGAGTTCAAGCCCCACAACCACCACCAACAACAAAAAATACACGTTGGATTTCCATTTTCCCAGTTGACCTCTCAATTTGAGTGGGCCTGTTATCTCAAACGTCTTTGTCCTCTTGTTTCGTGAATCTCTTTTTCTAGGGGTGGCTCTGGGGATTGAACTCGGGGACATTCTCCTGCTTGAGTCACGCCTTTGGCTCTCCGATGGATGGGATATTGTGTCCCCAGATCCGGTGTAGCACTGATGGTCAGGCGTCCTCTCCCACGCTGTTTCTTACACACTGGGGGTGGGGGCAGGGCCTCTGTCCCATGTCACCTGTGAGGCTGAGGCTCGTGGCCTGCCTCCTGACACACAGCTCGGTTTTGGTGAGTTTGAGGGCTGCCGGATCCTCTCTTCTCAGCCTTAGAGGTGGAGCAGTGTCAGTCAGGGCCAAGGGGTGCAGTGCGCTGGGCAAGCTGGCCTGGGCAAAATCTGGGTGGGGTGAGCGTGGAAAGGCCGGATGGGGCTGGTCTTGGGCTGGCCAGGCTGCGGGGTCCTGGGGCGGGGCCTCTCCCCTTGGTGAGCGGGCCGCGCTGTGACTCCAGACGGGCTGTGTGATGACCCTCGGCCGGGAACATAGCCAGAGGGCCGAGTCTCAGGGACTGGCTGTGGGGGGGGGGTTGATAAACCCCACACAGAACCTCGGGTGCAGGTGTCACCCATAAACCACCAAACCTCAGACAACCTCCCTGCCCGTGAGTCCCCGCACAGTGACGTTGAGCTGAGATCTCCCGCGCAGCTCGGAGCCGGGCTTCCTGCTCTGATGCCTTTCCTGCTGCTTCATCTGAACCGCATCGGGGCTGTGTGTTTGGCCAGAAGAGCCGTCTGCAAAGCTGTCAGTCAACTCAAGCAGGGGCTGCGAGGCTGTTGCCAGAAGCATTTCATACACCAGCTTTCCGATTGAGTGGGAACCGAGGCCTGCCGTAGGGGCAATAGAGAACAATCAGAGATCTTGTTCCCGGTGTCTTCTCCCGTGCTCCTTGCGGTGTGTGTGTGGGGGGGGGCAGAGCTGGCTAGACGGCCACCCACGGTCAGATCCTATCAGCTCACTTCCTTCTTGCAGGAGGGGATGGAGGACAGGATATCTGATGGGAAACTGATCCAGAGACACATGCCATCACCGCCCAGAGGAAGGCCTGCCATCCCCCCCCACCCCCCCCGCCCATCCCCACACACACACTGAAGAGCTGGGAGGCTGGGCGGCCAGGGGGAACGTGCCAACCACGCCAATTCTGGGGGAGAAGCATCCGGAGACTGTCTGGCCCTTGGTTGCACTGTCTGGACTGCGGGGCTGGGAAGGGGGGGTGGCGCAAGGGTGACGGGGTACGGTTCTCTTGTTTCTGCGCTGGCCAGTCCTGTGGGGAGGAGACGGATTTGTGGCTCAGAAGCTGTGGCAGGCTTGGGCTGGGGAAACAAAGGCAGACTCCCTGGTCTCTCGAGAGTTCACTGTCCTCCCCCTGCCCCCCATGGCTTGTACAAAAGCCCTGGACATCAGAAAGGAGCCGGTGAGGAGGCAGATCTAACCAGGGTGACCACAGAGGTGCTGATCTTGGTGGAGGCTCCTCGTCTGAGCACCCTCTCTGGCCATCAACCCTTGTGTAACAATCAACTGGGCTTTTATCCTCCTTTACAGATGATAAACTGAGGCAGGGAGAGGCCGTGTTTTACCAAGAATGGGCCCATGTGGGAGGGAGTGGGGAACACCCTTGGGGAAGTCCGTGATGGGCAGGGTGTAGGGGTGCTTCCACCCAAGGGTGTGCATCCTGGGTGATCCCGGTGCGGGGTGAGGGGAGCCCATGCATGCTGCCTGACAGAGGTGGCTCATAGTGGAGCTCAGCAAGGGAGGAGGGCTTCTGGGGGGAGGGAGGTGCTCTTTAAAGGGGGTCTCCTGGCTGGGCGCTGGTGGCTCACACCTGTCATCCTAGCTACTCAGGAGGCTGAGATCTGAGGATCTTGGTTCAAAGCCAGCCCGGGCAGGAAAGTCTATGAGACTCTTATCTCCAAGAAACCACTAGAAAACTGGAAGTGGCGCTGTGGCTCAAGCGGTAGAGCGCTCGCCTTGAGCTGAAGAGCTGAGGGACAGCGCCCAGGCCCAGAGTTCAAGCCCCACGACTGACAAAACAAAACAAAGCAAAGAAAAAAAGGGGTCTCCTGTAGTATGGGGGTGGTGTATGCCTGTGATCCCAGCTTCGTGGGAGGCTGTTCGTAGGAGGATTGCAATCTGAGGCCGGCCCCAGGGTAAAAAACACAAGAGTATGCATAACATACAAAGATGAGGGACAAAAGGACAAAAGGGCGGTGGAGGGGGGTCCTGGCATCCCGGCTGGAAGAGCCCCGTCCGTGGGGGCCTGGGAAGGAGCTTTACGCAGCTTAAGGGAGTTGAATGCCCCTGACACCAGCCAGCCGCCAGCAGCACCCGGTGAGCGGCCCACAAGGAAGTGGCTAGTGCCCACGGCCGGCACGGAATATGAGCCCTGGCCAACACGTTAACTCTTTATGATTTGGTGGTACCGGGGATTTGTGCTTGCTAGGCAGGTGCTCCACCACCGGACCCGTGTCTCCCCCTTTCTGTTTCTGCTTTTAATCAGCATAGAGGTAGGATTTCCTGCTTTTGCCTGGCACTACTGAGCTCCGGGCCTCGGGCCTCCCAGCTCGGGTGGGGCTGGCATTCCTGGTGGGACACCACCACACCGGGCTGAGCGATGGAGGGAGGGTCTTGCTTACTTCTTGCCCAGGCTGGCTTTAAACTTGGATCCTCCCGAGTAGCTGGGGCGGCAGGAGTGAGCCTCCACTCCCAGCTCTCTGGGTGTGCTGGGTGGAGGCCCCGCTCAGCCTCTCAGGTTCCAAATCCGAGGGAACCTGAGCTGATGGATGAATGCTGCGTTACACAGCATTTCCTTCTTCATTTTTGCTGTTTTTGTTTTATTTTTGCAGCGCTGGGCTTTCTCAGGGGACTCTGCCATGCCAGCCACTCCCGCAGACCAAGTTATTGTTGTCTTTTTAAATGCAGCACCGAAAAATAATATTGAACTAAGCCAACCAAGGAAGAATGTGCTAGATGAGGGGCCAAGACTCAGAGGCCTGTGAGACACCCCCCTTCTAGAGGATGGGTGTGTGTGGGGGTGAGGCTGGGGTGAGGCAAGCCCACTGGGGTCTGACAAGAGCCGCGGGGTGGGGGCGGTATCGAGGGGGGGCACAGCTGCGGGCAGGGGTGAGGGCAGGGGTGAGGGGTCCCTCTTCTCTCTGGAGTGAGTGCTCACTGCCTCTCCTGGGTTGTTTACTTGTGCAAATGTTTGCAGGGGGCACAGCCACGTCTTCAGTGGCCCCAGGGGGACTGGACCTGTGTTTTGGAAGACAGCGTGTCCCACCAGCTCCAACTCGTGGAAGTCTCCCTCCCCCAGGGACGGGCACCATTGGTGTTCTTGTCCGCAGCAGCCTTGGGCTTTGTCTGTGACCACGCCCCGTCCACCTGCTGACCACGCCCCTGAGTCCTGGAAGCTTCCGGCTGGCGGCTCCCAAGCTGTCTTCACAATGGGGGTGTTCTTGCCCTTTCTCCTCACGGAAGCAAATTTGCAGCGGGAAGGCGGGTGGACAGGGAAACAGAGGCCTGGGGAGGACTCCACGCCAGCCAGGGTGGCCTCTCCAGCCTCAATCCCTGATACCAGGCCCTGGGCAACTTGTCCCTTTGTGCCCTGGATAGATGGGCAGAAAATCGATGGTTTTGCTCTGTTGACAAAACACATTCCTGACAACTAGGATGCAGGGGAGCGTTAAAGGCCACAGGCACAATTACTTCCGAGGAAGAGGCAACTCTGGATGGAGCTCTTTTGCGCAAGGCTAGCTCGCTATCACTTGGCCCACAGCTTCCACTAAAGGTTTCTTAGGTGGTTAGTGGAAGATCAGAGTCTCCCGGTCTTTCCTGCCCAGGCTGGCTTTGAACTGCAATCCTCAGATCTCAGTCTCCTGAGTAGCTAGGATTTCAGGCGTGAGCCACCGGCGCCCTGACTTGGCTTTACATTTCGTTAACTGCATTGTGAAGGCATCTTAGAGCAGAGCGTTGCAAAGATGGCTGGTGGAGTTCCTGCAGACCCTCACCACGGCTTCCTTCTCTGAATGGTGACATGTGGCAGTGTGCCCCCCCCAGTCCAGTGGTTCCCCCCACACACCCGATGCCAGGCCAGGCTCAGTCCCACACAGAGCCACACCTCACCCTTTTGTTTTTATGTTGGTTTGGAGATGAGTCTTGGTAACTTTGTTGGCCAGCCTCAAATTCTTTTTTTCTTTCCAGTTGACTTTGTTGTTATTATAGAGGTGATGTACATTTGTGTGTTTCAGGCAATGAGGACGGCTCTGCTCCCCTCCTCCCCCAGTCCCTCCCTCCCATCTCCACTTTGATCAATGTCCAGTGCAGCTTCTGCACTTGGTCACTTTTGCCTTGGACTCCGTGCCCCCCCCAACCCCCCAGATGTGCACGTGAACACACCGTATATGAAGTGAAGAATACAGAGTCATCAGAAAGAAAAATTACAAAAAGTCTTTTGTTTCCATATCTTGGAGTTCATCTCAGTATGTATATTATTTTATATACACTTGAAGAGGTGCGTGGGCACTGGGCCTTTGTGATTCTCTCCTAAGATTCCTCCGCTGGTGTCACTGTCTGTATCTGGAATCCTGTATAATTTGTCATATCCCAGTGCGTCGTAGATCTAACTTCCACGTGTCAGAGAGAACATGCGCCATCTGTCTTTCTGATCTTTAGCCTCAAATTCTTTTTGTGTGTGTGTGTGTGTGTGTGTCGGTCGTGGGGCCTGAACTCTGGGTGTGGGCGCTGTCCCTCAGCTCTTCAGCTCAAGGTGAGCGCTCTACCACTTGAGTCAGAGCAGCCCCACTTCCGGCTTTTTCTGCTTATGTGGTGCTGAGGAATCAAACCCAGGGTCTCATGCATGCAAGGCAAGCACTCTACCATGGAGCCACCTTCCCAGCCTAGCCTCAAATTCTTTTTTTTTTTTTGTCGGTCGTGGGGCTTGAGCTCTGGGCCTGGGCGCTGTCCCTCAGCTCTTCAGTTCAAGGCGAGCGCTCTACCACTTGAGCTACAGCGCCACTTCCGGTTTTCTGGTGGTTT